CTGACACAGGGCTGAACCCAATCTGCAGCCCCTTCCCCTCTTCAAATGAGCAGCAGAGCTGACTTCAGGAAGCTCCAAGCCCAACCCTCTAATCATTACGTTTTTAGCACCACCAACTCCATGTGGGGCCTAGCTGTGGTGAGCCCGTCAGTCCACGTGAATAATGTGAAATTCCTCACGCTGAGAAATCCCAAGGTTTAGAAAGGTTTGTCTGAAGGAACCCAAGTCCAACACCACTGAATGTAGGTCACTGCACTGAAGCAAAGGACGTTATAGCCCAGGCTAGAGCAAAGGGGGATGCAGCCCAGGCTAGTTCCTTTGACAGGACCTTGAGGTCCTCGTGCTTCGTTCATTTATAGAAAGCAGGAAGGGCCTCCCCACGAATGGATCCACAGTGGGAGAAGGAAGGAAAGCCCACTCTGGGCTCCAGCCTTGAACTTGCAAGGCAGCTTTACTCACAATGTTTGTTGCAATGAGTCATTCTCTGGTTCAAGGCCTCGGCCACATTGTCAATACCGGGCCCTCACCAGGGCTCCTCTCAGACATCCTGTTGCTGCCCTGTGTCATGGAGATCCTGAAGCTTTGGATCTGCAGGACCAGCCTTTCCATATACTCCAGCAGTTCACAGATGTGTTGGATGTTGGAGTGGGTTAGCTCAAGTCCTGGGTTTGGGTATGGGTGGTGGCTGAACTGGGTTTGGGCCTGGGTGCTGGCTGAGCTGGGTTGGGTTTGGGTACAGGGGGTAGCTGAGCTGAGCTGGGTTTGGGTATGGTATGGGTGGTGGCTGAGCTGAGCTGGGTTTGGGCCTGGCTGGTGGCTGAGCTGAGCTGGGTCTGGGTATGTGTGGTAGCAGAGCTGGTCAGCCTGCCAGCTCTCCTGCACCCACACTGCCTGGGGGGGGGGGGGGGACTCTCCAGCACTGCCTCAGCAGGGGAGGAGCAGAGCATCTTTCCTGCTCTCATGCCCTCGGGCCTGGCTCACCTGGCAAGGTCAGCTCTCCCCCTCTCATGACCTCAGGCCAGGATTTTTGTTGTTGTTTTGTTTTTCCCATACTGCTTTTACCACCTCCAATCCTTACTTTCCCTGCCCATGTCTCCATCACAGAACATCCTAGGTATCTCAAACACCCCAGGCCATCTTCACTTGTTGTCCAGAGTGGGCAGAGAGCAGCCATCCTTGCAGAGACCGACTACCTTACAGTCTCAAAGAGGGCAGATAGGCAGCAGGCCCAAGAGGGGCACTTCAGGTTCTCTGGTGCAAGGCATGTAGCGAATGCTTGCGCTTTCTCAGAGCTGGCGAGCACCGTGACTAAAGATATGAACTACTGGTAAAATCTGTCATTATCAAGCATTAGCGAGTTTCAGGCCCCACAGCCACGCATATTAACATATTCTATTTTTTAGCTCTGACATTTCAACCACCCACTTTACTCTTATGACTTATGTGATCATCAGAAGCATTCAGGAAAACTTTAGAGCAAACAGTGATCTAAGAGCCTAAACGTGGAAGGAAAAGAGTTTAAGGTCTGTACTTAGCCTCACCTTCCCCATGTCGGTGCTGAAGACCCCGGGGCCTTTGCTGAGTCAGGCTCTACTCGATGACTGAATGGAAATTTCCACAGGAGCTTCTTCCCAAGAGGATGAAATGAAAACGCTAAGTACCTTTTAAATCAATCGAAGCAGGTTTCAAGGGGCAGTTATGGGCACTGTGGCCTTTGGTTCTGTGTCACTTCAGTATCTACAGGGAAGCTTAATGCATTCCTTCTGGTTTCAGAGGTCGTGACCAGGGACTGAAAAGACATTACATCCTTCGCTGAAAATGGATGCGACTGGAGGCCAGAAAAGACTAACATCAGATGTCTCCTCTCCTAGGGGTTGTCATGGATCACGGTGGGCCTCTTGGATTAGCTGTCAGAGCTCAGGAGCTTTGATAGGAGGAGGAAGTACAGCATCCATGACCCCTGTGCTCGAGGCGTTAAGACCGTAGTAGAATCTCAGAAATCGACTGTCAAGCTGAAGAGAACTAAATATACTCCGAAATAAACACGACAGGCATGCAGGCACTGGTGAGTGCCCGGGACCAGTACCCCAGGGGCACACACCCATCAGTAACTAGGAAAACGCCCTCAGGCTGAGTACAGCCCAACACAAGGAGGCATTTTCTCAACTCATGTTCTGTCCCTCCCAGGTGACTCTAGCTTGTGTCAAGATGACAAAAAACAAACAAAAACCAGCCAGCACACCAAGCCACTGATTGATCCACACCAAATACAGTGCATCTCCCTCCCTTCCTGCAGGCTCGGGTTACATAGGTCTAACTAGGCATGGGAGCTCATTAAATCGTGATCTCAGCACTTAGGAGGCTGAGGCAGGAGGACAACTGGGCTATACAGTGAATCTCAAGCCAGGCTGAGCTACAGAGAAAGAGCCTGTCTCAAGAAACAAGTAAAAGACCCAAACCCAAAGCAACCAACTGATAATAGTAACAAAACAGGAGGAGGGAGGGGAAAAGCTGTTAAAAGTGTCTGACGCTTCCAGGACTCGGCTTCTTCTGCTGCACTGGAACACGGGGTTCCTCGGGGAGGGTGGCTACCGCAGTGACCCTGGCCGTGGGCACAGGAGGAGCTGGGCTACTTTCTCTTACAAGCCACACCCTGTCGTTCTCTGGACTCACAGCTCAACTGGCCCATTAAAAGGGGGCGGGGAGAGAGCTTTGGGTCTCTATTTGCTTTCTATTGTGATAAACACCTCAGCCCCCTCTCCCGAGACCCCAAAAAAACTAGGGAGAAAAAGCTTTATTTGCGTTACATGTCTGGACCGGGGTCCATCATTTCAGGGAGTCAAGGCAGGAGCCTGGAGGCAGGAAGTGATGCGGAGACAGGGGAGAAGAGGCTCACTGATGCAAGCCTGCCTGCCCACCCTGCTGTCTCACACAGCCTAGACCACCTGCCCAGGAATGGCTCCACCCACAGTGGGCTGGCGCCTCCCACATCAGCCATTCGGCAAGGAAAGGCCCAGCAGGCCTACCTCTGGGCCAATCTGATGGAAGCCTCGTTTTCTCAGTTGAGCTTCCCTCTTCCTAGAAGACGCTCAGGTCAAGTTGACAAAATCCAATCAACCAACCAACCAATCAAACAAACGACAAAACCTCAACCTCCCAGCACTCTCTCACGGCAACCCACACAGTGGGGAGCAGGAGTCTGAGGCATTTGCACAATCAGTGAACACCCAAAGAGACTGCATATCATTTCTTTCCCCGCTCTGCCACCCTGCCAATTCCCCCTTCTTTATGACCCCCGCGGGATTGCGGGGGAGGGGGGTGGCGTTTAAGCCAAGCTAGTGATGTAAGATATAAGAGGTGGGGTAGCCACAGCCTCCCTCCCTTCCTGCCCTGCCCTGCCCTGGCGGAGTTCCTATGAGGAACTATGAAAACACTTGGACAGCCTGCACCTTTCACTGAGGCCTCCGGCAGGCATTCAGCCCTGGCCCTTTGAGTGGAAACTGCTCGGCCAGGGCCCAGGGCAGGCTCCAGGGCTGTAGCCAGTCTGCACAGGGAGCGCTGCGAGCTTACCCGCCCTCAAGTTACTCAGCAGCCTCACCCAGGCCAAGAGAACGCCCGGCGCCCGTCCAGTCCTAGTTTTACGATAAAAACAAACGAAAACCACACTTGGGAAATGAAAGGGGCCGAGAAACTCTGCATCCAAGGCTTCACTTGGGTTGAAAACCAAGACAACTTTCCAAAGACTAACGCTGTTATAAAGCATCCCTTTCGGAGCCAGACTAAGCTTTTTTTACCCTCTTTAAAAGGATTACGCGAGAAACAACTGCTGGGTTTCCTTTTCCCAGCCATGGGCCGCCTCTCCTGAAGGCCCTCGCTGGCTGTTACTTCGCCAACTGTCCCCAGATATCAGCGCCATCAACTACAGCTCCTGTGACAGGCTAATTCGGAGCCGATGCCCCAAGAGCCGCTGTGTGCTGCGCGCTCTCGCCAGCCCACAAGCCAAGTTACGCTGACTGGGGTTCAGCCCTTCGGTCCCCACCGGTCTCTCCCGGAATTCTAAGTTCAGGCAGAGAGCCCACCCTACACACGCGTGCTCCCGGCCCGCGGCTACCGCCTCGCACAGAAACGCTGAGTCACGGCTCTGGGGCCGGGGAGGGGCCCCCTGCGCTCGGCGGGGTGCCGGGGTGCGGGACGGGACGCAGAGGCTCCGGTCAGGGAGGCCGAGGGCGCAGCGCCGGTGCTCGGAGGAGCGTGCCTGGACCCGCTCGCCAGCCCCCGCCGGGCACACTCAGCCTGGAGACTCCACGAGGGGGCCGGAGCGAGAGGTCAGGTCAGCCCTGAACCCCGGGAACGCGGCAGCGAGCGCACCGTCTCCGTGTGAACTCGGGGCCAGCCCCGCATCACGGGGAGCCGGGAGCGCGGGGCAGCGCAGGGCCGTCCCCGAGCAGACCGTGAGAACCCGGAGCTGACCCGGGGAGAGCCGAGGAGGGCCAGGGGGAGGCGGGGCAGAGCCGGGAGCAGCCGGGGCAGAGCGAGAACCCAGGCAGCCCGACAGGTCCCGGGGCGGGCGGAGAGAAGCCCGCCGGGCTGCCCCGGCGGAGCGCTGCGCAGAGCGGGAGGGAGGCGGGGGCGCGGGGCACCCACCATCGGGCGCCCCGAGGACCCGGGGAGACGGGAGAGACAGGAGCGCGGCACAGGAGCAGGCGGGGACCGGGCGGAGCGGCAAGCACAGGAGGGAAACCTGGAGGACCCGGCGGGTGGCGAGAGGACAGAGCGGGGAGCGCCGGGCTAAAGGGGGGCAGCCCGGGGGGGCGCAGGGGGCAGCCCGGGGGGACGCAGGGGGCAGCCGGGGGGGGGCGCAGGGGCAGCCGGAGGGGACACAGGGGGCGGCCGGGGGGGGCGCAGGGGGCAGCCGGAGGGGGCGCGGGAGCCGCCGGCAGTGCCCCGCGGCGCAGCCCTCCTCCAGGCACGGCGTGCGGACGCGGCGCGCGCGGGCTCACCTGAAGGACAGCACGCACAGCGGCCGGTAGGACTTGTGGCTGGCGCCGTCCGCCAGGCCCTTGCCCCAGAAGTCGTTGGCGAAGACGGCCCAGCGCAGCGGGGCCCCGGGCCGCACGTCGGGGTTGTTCACGATGGCCCACACGTCGTCGTGCACGAACTCGCCGCGCAGCGAGCGGCCGTAGCACAGGCAGC